TGGCGGCCAGACTTTTGTCGGGAACATCCAGGAGGGATCACATCACTCCGGTCTTGTGATCCCTCCACTGGCTGCCTATTGGTTTCCGGGCCCAGTACAAGGTGTTGGTTATCACCTTTAAAGCCCTAAATGGCTTGGGTCCAAGCTATCTTAGAGATCGCCTCCTCCCCTATAATCCTCCCCGCGCCCTCCGCTCCTCTGGGAGGAATCTCCTGCAGCTACCAAAATCTAGGCTTGCGGTGACCTCCCAGAGGGCCTTCTCAGTTGTCGCCCCCAGGCTCTGGAACGGCCTGCCGGATGAGATCTGTCAGTTGACATCTTTAGACAGTTTTAAGAGAGCTGTCAAGACGGATCTCTTCCGGCAGGCCTTTCCGGATTAAAAATACCCGGCCTCAGATACTGGGATATAGGGACTCTGGATTTTCCCCTCTGATTGCTTTCTTAGCTTTGTTAGAATTGAAGTCATATGGGAGTTAGTTTGCTCTACTTCTAATTGTTTTTGTTTATTGTTATTTTAACATATACTGTTTTAACTGATATGTGGTTTAATTGTTTTTTAAGGGGGAGGGAGTTATTGTATTTGCATATATTGCATTTTAAACTGTATGCTATTTTTACTGTAAACCGCCTAGATTGGTCCGCCACCAGGCGGTATATAAATAAATTTTATTATTACTATTATTATCATTATTATTATTTTGATTGAGATCTGTATTGTATATTTTATGCTATGTTAATGTTGTAAGTCGCCCTGGTTGCTTCTGCAGAGGGGCGGGATATAAATTTTATTATTATTATTATTATTATTATTATTATTATTATTATTATTATTAGTTGCACATTCTGGTGTGTACTGAGTTGAGCAATATTGTCATTCAACACAGGGTTTGTATAACATAATCAACACATAAATTTACATAGAGAATTTTTTTGCTGTGCAATCATGATATGGGATCTTGGCTATTTTTATAGAACCTCTATCCAAACAGAGCATGAGTAGTACTTCCTTATAGGTTGTTGCTGTGGCTAATTGGTATTACATGGACTTTGAATTATGGCAACTGTGAATGAGAGACCTCCAAGTTGCCCTGTCATCAACAGCCCTGCTAGATCTTGCAGACTCAGGGCCGTGGCTTCCCTGTTGTAGGGCCTCTACAGACCAGCCCAAAGGGTCGGCCTGGAGGCAGAGATGAGGAGGGGCAGCTACAAGTTGGCTGCCCCAACCCCACACCGAGGACGTCCTGACACCGCGTGCCATTACGTACGGCACATGGCATCAGGATGTCCTTCTGGCACAGTATCTTTTCCGGTGACAAAAGGGAGGATTGGGGCCATGCAGTCCAGTCTGGTCTTCCTCTTTCTCTACTGCCTTCTACCGTCCCAAGCTTCATGTCTTTTCTAGGGAGTCATGCTTTCTCATGATATGTCCACAGTATGACAGACTCATAGAATAATAGAATCATAGATTTGGAAGAAACTGCAAGGTCACTCCAGTCCATTCTCCTGCTGTGCATGAATATACAATCAAAACAATCCAGACAGATGGCCATCCCACCTGTTTGAAAACCTCCAGACTCCCCCACACTCCTAATGTTTAAACAGAAACTCTTTTCCTGTAATTTGATTCCATTGCCCCATGTACCAGTATCTGGAGCAGCAAAAAACAATACACAACAAATAAACAAAAACAAGCTTGCTCCATCTTTAATATGACATCCCTTCAAATATTTAAGCTATCTTAACCTTCCCTTCTCCAGGCTAAACATACCCAGTCTCACTAAGCTGCTCCTCATAGGACATGGTTTCCAGATCTTTCACCTCCTCTGGACATGCTCCAGCTTGTCAACAGCCTTCTTGAATTGTGGTGCCGAGAACTGGACACAGTACGCCAGATGAAATCAGACCAAAGCAGAACAGAGTGAAACTATTACACTCATCCCTCGGTTTTTGTGGACTTGAAGTCCACGGTCTTGGTTCTTTGCAGAGGGATAAGCCCCATTGGTTAAAATGGCATGCATGCCAGAGTGCACGGCCATTCAAGCCAATGGGGCTTGGATATTGGTGAGTTTCCATTTTCATGGGGAGGGATTTTCCAGAACGGATCCCCTGCGAAAATGGAGGTATAAGTGTACTTCCCTCAATCTAGACACTAAGGGCCTTTGCAGACTGCCAGAAATAGTGCAATTTGAGTCCATTTTAACTGCCCTGACTCAGTGTTAGGGAATCATGGGAACTGTATTTTATTGTGGCACCAGAGCTCTCTGACAGAGAAGGCTCAATGTCTCAGAAAAAAAATACAATTCCCATGATTCCCTAGCACTGAGCCAGAGCAGTTAAAATGGACTCGATTTGCACTATTTCTAGCAGTTAATAATTCCATTGATGCTGCCTAGGATCATATTAGCTTTTTTAGTTGATGCACCACACTATTGATTCATGTTCACGTTGTTGTCCACGACTACTTCTAGATTCCTTTTGCATGTACTGTTGTCAAGCCATTTGTCACCCATCCTATAGCTTTGCATTTCATTTTTTTTCTGCCTAAGTTTAGTACCTTGCATTTCTGCCTGTTCAAATTCATTTTGTTAGTTCTGCCTCATCTAATTCTGCTTAGTCATTGTGGTTTCCATGGAAAGTTCAGATTTTATTTCTTCTAGGACTCTTCTATTTGTCTTTTTAGCAGTTAACAGTTTCTGTAGAACTCTTCTTAAGCACCACATTTCAAAAATGTTAATTTTCTTCTTATCAGCTTTCTTCACTTACCAGCTTCCATAACCTTACCTTATATGGAATGGCATGGATAATCCTGATTTTAGTACAGTGGGGCAGCCATATTGGTGGGCTAGCCAGTCTC